TATGTAAACATTAATATATGACATGATACTTGCTGCTTAAATATAATAATACACCAAAAAAACAAGAACATCAAAAACAACCGGACAAACAACAATTAACCCGTGAAATAACTTCTATAAAATACCAAATAGGATCTTAGACCTACGACAATAACCCTTTATAAAAAAATCTTAGAATACAAACAAATATTTCCATATATAATTTTTCTAAAAGTTTCTCTAAATTCCTTTTATCTTTGTTTTTTTGTTTTTTGCCTTTTCATCGTAATATAAAAAATTATTATAATTATAAAAATGTTAAATAACTAAATATCTAACTGCGATTGGTCATTTAAAATCTCACATATGCTACATATTTTGAAACATTTTAGTTTATAAATTTCATTAAATTTGATAACCAAAAAAAATTATTACATTTTGATAATTATTATATCAATATTTTAATATGAAAATAATATTTAGAATAGTTTCTATATTTTGAAATATCTCTTGTACTTCCATATATCATGGTTTATTTTCTATTTTATAAAATTATAAATATAGTAAATAATTGCTATTTAAAATTTGCTAAAAATAATGAGATGTCTAATCGTGATTGGTCGTTTAAAATCGTATGTGGACAGTTCTAGGTCCTAGACCCGCGCTATGCGCCGGTTTTTTTTTGAAATTTAAAAATTATGTTCAGCTTTTAGATTTTTTTTTTCTTTCTTTCACAAAGAACATTTTCAGCCTTGTCGTACTTCTCTAACCGGCAATATGCATTGGTGGCTATTGTAGTATTATGTAAGTCACTTCAGCCTCACATACTTCCTTCATAGTGGACTCATAAATCTTAAATGCTTCCGAAAAATCTCTTTGCTTACAGAATCTATTCACTATCACATTGAGTATGCAATCCTTTTTTTTTTTTTTTGAATAATCAAAGAGGTTCTGGGCCGAAACCCATACATCCCCTCAGATCCGAGACCAGAGCATGTTATATGGTCTCGTCCCAAGCTACAACCTCGAAAATTCACTCCATATTTCCTTCTCAGACATACATCAATACAACCTTCAAACATATTCTTGGATCTTTTTAACAGTTTCTTTTGCCCAGCTTCTTTGAACAACTTCTCGGCTATTTTAACCTTTAGGCTTTAGATTAGAACTCACCACTTTATGGAATTTCCTTGTCTTTCATTTTCTCCAAAAACTCTAGTGCTAGTGATAATCGTTTTGATACTAATGCTCGTTCTGACTTTGTAAGGGAAGTTCATGAAATTGTGTAGATGCTTCCTAATAATTCTATGCCAAAAAACTTAATATTATTCTTAAACTCTTGAAATAATTCAACCCTCATTTGATTGTCACCAATCCACTCATGAGCCTCCATGATTCTACAATAATAATCTTAGCATAGCTCGACTCCCCCAGATGGTTTCATCCCATCAAATATTTAGATTGTGCTACTATCATCTCAAGTTTGTTAAAACCTTTCATCGTTGCATCAGATGTAGACACATGCAATAATTTTCTGGTTTGTACATACTAAGAAGTAAGAAAGCAATACGTAATTCAGATTTTTATACCGTCAATGCAACTCCTGATCAGACTGGAACACGAGAAAAATGCCATTAAACTCCTGGAGAGTGCGATTTCGTTGATTTAAAGCATGCACTCTCCAACTGTTGATTTAAATCCCAAACTTTTTGTTGGCTTTCTCTTTATTATGAAACTTTGTTGACTTTGCCAATTTAGGCACATCGTTAAATGGCCAGACGGAGCAATTAAACGGGGTTAATCTCTTGTTAACGAGATCCATCAAATACAAAATGAAACCATTCTAAACCTAACCCAAAAAACCCAAATTGAGATCAAAACTCTTAACCCAAAATCCCCAAACTGAAATTGAATCCAAAATCCCCAAATGTCGACCAGGATTCTCTTGAGTTCTCGATGTCAAGATCGTTACACCAGATCCACATACACATGTTGATGGCACTCCAAAGTAGAACAAAGCTACCATTGATGTCTCTGAGCTAGAACTCGTCTGAATCGAAATCGAGAGAAATTGAGTGGTTTAGAGATGACAACTAATCAAAATCGAGACAAACTTACACAAATGGAAAAAAATTGAGAAGATTTAGAGATTTTGGGTTGTGAGATTCAATTTCAGTTTGGGGATTTTGGGTTAAGATTTTTTATTTCAATTTGGGTGTTTTGGGTTAGGTTTAAAACGATAGAATAAAAAGGGTCGGTGAAGGTTGTGTTTGATTTAGTATATTCATTTATGTATTTGTTGTGACTTGTGAATTGGACATTGGACTAAGAGAGAGAAAAAAACTCACCCAAGCTGAACTTGAGGAAAACCTCACCCATTAGTGTTCTGCTTATTTTTTTCCATGTCTCATTGGTTGTGAGTGGTAACACTAAAACTGTGTTATTTGGGAAAGTTTTTTGAAAAACGCACTCTGTCACACACTCAACAAAAACTAAAGCAAGTTGCGTTCTTTTAATAAAAAAAATGAAAGTCGGATTTGGAAACAGATAAATACACAAGATCGTCTTTCAAGAATCCATCTGTGTTTTACCCAGCCGTCCGTTTAAATTCCGTGGTGGGTAATAACCAAAAGGTTTAAAATAATTAACTAAAGGTATATATAGGTATCTTATTCTCACCAAAATTCACAAATAGAAAAGAAAAAAAAAATCTCAAACTCTCGCTTCTCTCTTTTACAGAAAAAGTACTCTCTACAAGTTTTGGCATTATTTAAGGTAATGTTGTTTAGTTTGTTTTTATCATGTTCATGTGTATATACTCTTTTAATTTCTTTTATTTATGGCACTTTAAAGTAAAGTAATCTGTATAGACTTTTTTTTTGTAACAAGCATCACAATTATTATTTCTCTTATTCACATAATAATAGTTTAACAAAAATTTGGGTATGAATGATTTAACTAAAAACCCTCATAGCTAATAAATTAACCAACCATTTATGTATCAATAGTTTAATTATATATGCTTATAGCTAATACATTAGAATAAGCTTATATTTTAATTAAAATAATAGTATAGCTTATAAATTAGAACTAACTTACAGTTTAATTTAAATAATCTTATAGCGAATATACTAATCAAAATTTTCAAAATTTTCATTTGTTCACCACATCCATTAGATTTACAGTTTTGTTTAGATTTAGTTCTTAATAATTGAATGTGTGATACAATAATACTTCAATTATGTCTTGTTTATTCAAAAATTTAATATGGTAATAGGTTATGTATTTTTATTAATTTATTAATATATATAATGTAAAAAAACAGCGTAGTCTTCATAATTTTAGTTCAAAAATATTGAAATATATTTACTTTAATCATATTCACAAAAAGTTTACCAATTTATTCATGAATTTATTTACCTATGTTATTATACCAAGTAGATATATATATACTAGATTTTGCCATGTGGTACACCGCGTGATCATTATTTTTAAAAAATTAGTAATTCATATGTTTAGTAAATTTTGTATATTACATATTGTTTTATACCCTTATACATATATAAAGAGTATATTAACTATGTAATATGAAAATACTTTTAAAAATATATTATAACAATTACTTACAGTTTTATGGGTGTGAATTTGTTTTAGAGATTAGAGAAACTATAATTTTGATATTTTATTAAAGATATATTAAATGTGTTTAATGGAGATGTGGCTTTCTTTGTTTTTTTGATATATATAATATTTATTCTAATTAAATTAATTTTGCAATTAAAATTATAGTTCTGACAACTATTCTTTTAATCGATATGATTTACTTATTATATAGTTAAATTTATACTTTAAGTAATTTTTAGTTGTCTTATTAAAATTAATGGACTATGTGTGTATATAATATGGTATATTAGACGTAAAAATTAAATATAAATAGAACTAACCTTAAAGAACTTAATGGATCATTTATATTATTTTATTTGATGTTTTAATGAACAAAGAAAATTCAAACAAAAACGATGTTGGAAATGACCATGTTTCTTAGACGACAAAACGATGTTGGAAATAATTTAACAGGAAGTAAAGAAAATTTGTGGATTTTTCTAGGGTTAGGGAGTTAGATTTGTGAATTATGAATCAATGTAAGGATTTATTTTTCTTCAGTTTGTTAAACAATGTCGTTTTGTGGTTTGAAACGGAAGCAACTCACGGATAGTTAACCCCGTCTTCGCAATTTTAAGAGAAACTAAATGTCGTGTTTAAATCGGCTAAGTCAACAAAACTTACCTATTTTAAGGAAATTTCAACATAAACTTTGTGATTAAAATGACTTCTTGAAAGTTCGGGATTAAATCGTCCCAAATTTGAAAGTTCGGGATTTTTATGACATTTTTCCCAATCTTTCTTCATTAATACGATTATTGTATCGATTTTAAGGGAGAAAATATTATGGAATTGTTTGTGTTGATTATAATCGCTGAATCGCAATAGTAAGGGAACTAATTTTTAGGCTTAAGTGATGTATTTAATTAAATAGTATATTTTAGAGAAATTTTAGGAGAATTAAAATAGGATCTGATTTTGTTAACTGAACATTAAATAATTTTATGGAAAAGGTTAATTAATATCAGTGGCATAACAATGTAAATATCTTCATACACCAAGGGTTATTACCAAAACTGCTACTAAAATGTTATAATAGATATAATAGTTATTATAATACAACAATGGATACATGGTAATTAGATTTTATTGAATGTAGATATGTCGTCTAATCGTCGACGGAGCACAAACCCTTCACGACGACCAATTTCAACTAATCCCGCCAAAATTTCTACTCCTCCCACATAAACAACAATACGGGTAATTTTATTTGTTTTTTTCTTGTTGAATTAAAATATTAATTAAATTTTACATAATAAGTAATATTGTATTCACTTAATCTATAGCCCAAAGAAAAGTACAAATGGTCGTATATTCAAGAAAAAACATTAATTCAATTGTTTGACGAAGCAATTGCCATGAATAATTACACTCTTAAGCATCCTTCGACCATAGGTAGAGATTACATGGTTGAAAATTTCAATCAAGCGTTCAATATGAATATAACTTATGGTTTCTTCAAAAACAAGCTTGATGAATTCAAAAAAAGTTATAAGAGGTGGAAGGTTCTTATGCATAAAACGGGTATCACGGTTGATCCATATACATCTATGATATATGCATCTGATAAGTGGTGGAATGACCAAGTGTTTGTAAGTTCAAATGATCACTTTACTCATCAAAATATGATTCAAAATTTTCGTTTCAAGAATCTAATGGATTTTAAATTTATAGGGATGCAAATTAACAAAAAGTTTTAACCGAAAGCCACCTGAATTTTGGGATGTGGTGCAACGTTGTCTCGTATTATATGATGTTCAATCACAATCTCAACATTTCTTTCGTCAAAGGAGAGAACAATTGATCAACGAACATGCAGTTGATGAAGTGGACCATGACGACTCTCTGATAGTGATGATGTGCCACAAACACAAGTTCTTGAAACGCAAGAAGAAGAAGACGAGTATCATGTTACCATAGATGACGATGAAACGCTCCAAAATTCCTCTAGGAGAAGTCAACAACGAGGTAACCAATATTTGCGATCAACCACTAGACGTGGGAGTAGTTCACAAAGATCTGGGAGGAAGTGCAAGAGTTTCTATTGGAAGTGGTTCACGAGGAAATCGTAGGAGACAATCCTTTGAGACAATTATACAAGACACTATAGCTGGGTATAGAGAGTTCCAGCGACAAAGTGTTCAACAACTTCGTCCCGGTAGTTTTGACCAAGATGATTACGATTAATTCAAAAAGGCGGAAGCTATACTCACTGCGCTAGACCTTCCCAAGCACCCAAGATTTTATTGGGCATGCATTAATACACTTAAGGAGCTAGTTTTTTGGCGTAAGTATTTCATTGATATAGCTGCAAGCACCGATGGAGATAAGCTACAACTGTTAGAAGCTATGACTGGTGTTTCACAAAACAACCAAGATGTGCCAAAGCAGTTAGGTTCTAGTCATTCATTTGGGAGTCCACATTTAGGCGGTCTATCATCTGGAAGTCCATCTTCCGTCACTAATAATCTAGGAGGGCAAAATTCACTCGGTTGCTGGGGTCCCATTTATCAACAACGGGGCACACCACCAAATGATCCACACTGGAGTACACCACCAAATGCTCCGCAATGGGGTACACCACCAATTGGTCAACAATGAGGTACACCACCAAACAGTCAAACATGGCAACAAACACACAATTTTCAACAAGGCGTATCATCAAGAACAACACCAACAAATGTTCAATATGGTTTTTCACTCGGAAGTGAAGGAGAAACTATGAGAAATACTCAACATGAACCGTCAGGTGGTGCAACAATAGAAACGTCATCATCTGGTCTTGGTTTCACAAATTATTTTGAAACTGGACAACTACCACAAATACCTAGACTGGGAGGTCTTTTCAATATATGGGGAACCAAGCAAGGCCCAAATGCAAGTCACCCAAGTGATGTAGGAGATTAAAATCAGATTGTGGTAATTGTGTTTTTATCAATCTTTCTGACGTTTTGAAATAATATCATTTGTTAAAAATCTTTTTTTTTTTATCAATTTTCTGTTATCATTTGTTATCAATCTTTCTGATGTTTGAAATAATTTATGATGTTTCTAATATATGTTATAAAGTTTATTTTTAAATTATATTTTAATATTTTATTAAAAATAACTGATATCTAATGACATATCATTTGTAATAAATTTCAGGCATTTTGTATATGTCAGTTGCGATCGCAAGACCTCAACAATCTAAGTTACGAAGAGAGAATTGAATTATGGAATTTGGAAAACGAACAATTTGAAAAGTTAGTAATTCAACCAGCGTTGACTTATTATGATCGATATTTTCAAAGATCACCTGTACAAACCGATAGAGGTTTGGGATAGAGGAATATTTGGCGTCGACTACAAGAAGATGATGTTGCTTGTCTTCAGTTATTACGTATGTCACTTCCATGTTTCACAACATTATGCAATATGCTGGAAACAGATTATGGTCTACAACCAACATTAAATATAAGCATTAAGGAAACTCATATCAATCGGAAAATTTTATGAAAAATACGCGAAAATATTTTGGTAACTAACATTAAAGGATTTAATTTTGTTAAAAAGACAATAAATATCAGTGGCATTCTTTGTAAATGGTATGGAAGTTTAGGATTTATTTCAAAAAGTTTTGTAAAAATGTTAATATAGATTAAATAAACTCCAACAAAACCTATCAATATTTAAAAACATGAATTACAAAGAACATGTTTATCCCGCGGTAAACCACGTGTTAAAAGCTAATAATCTAGTATATTATAATAATAAAAAATACAAAACTTTGTATGAGAAAAATCTATAATTCATTAACTAACTACTATAACCATTAGACAAAAAATTTATGGAAAATACGCGAAAATATTTTGGTAACTAACATTAAAGGATTTAATTTTGCTAAAAAGACAATAAATATCAGTGGCATTCTTTGTAAATAGTTTGGAAGTTTAGGATTTATTTCAAAAAAGTTCTGTAAAAATGTTAATATAGATTAAATAAACTCCAACAAAACCTATCAATATTTAGAAACATAAATTACAAAGAAAATGTTTATCACGCGGTAAACCACGTGTTAAAAGCTAATAATCTAGTATATTAGAACCAAAAAAATACAAAACTTTATATGAGAAAAATCTATAATTCATTAACTAACTACTATAACCATTAGACAAAAATATATTACTATGTGTCTAACCCGTTGTAACATTGCATAGTGTTGTAATTATGTAGGCGTTATGTGGGTATTTATGATAATGTTGTCCACAACACCCGGTTGGGAAACACAACTACTACTGATATTCTCGGAAAGTTTTCTACAGGTTTATTAACCTAAGTTGTCCATAATAATAAGTTCCATAGAGTGGCGGACAATTAACAGAAACGGGAACATATATAGAGTCCTAGCAGGGGACAAAAACATAAAGGTCCATAACATTCCGATTCGAAATCCAAAATACCTCCCACCAGACCAAAAAGTAAACAAGGGGGATTTAGATAGAGACCCTTTGAGAGGGGATTTATGAGGACACGGTGGAAAAGATAGTCAGTGCTACAATTGGGACCATCAGTGCAATAGCACAAGCAAGAACGAGTAGGCTTCTAATTAATGGTTTCCCAATAGGGGTCTATTTACGTTTCTCCATGACAATGTGAGCAACCTGGCTTAACGGTGCGTTAAGCTCTTCAAGCCGACAATCAAACTCATCGACGATAAGCTTGAGATGACTAATATCATCGTCGTGGGCAGCCAACCTCGACCACATGACCTCGATCCTCAACCTCGTCTCTCCAAGAATTAACATAGTCGTAATATCTGTTCTCTTGTTGCATTATAAGTTGGATTTGAATCTACATAGAAAGGAGGAAATCATGAGAAGGATGAAAGGATGAAATCCACAATTTCGTTTGATGCTCTAACATGGTTGTTTGCTGCATAGCAAGATACCCTCGACAATCACAATAAGCGCAAGACGGCTACGGCGCCAAGATGGCATTTTACTCTCTTCTAGAAGTCTTTTGTCCATTTTCAGCCAATCAACTATTTATCTAATGCTTACAGCCTTCTCTATTTCGGAGACAAGCTTACACCAGTATGGTTTGTCCGTTTAACTAATGTATGTTTAACACAAAAATCATATTTTTGGAAGAAATAACACGTTATTCTAATAAATAACGTTTAATACAAGAAAATAACATGTTAAAGAGATATATTCTGGTATTACTTGTACTTTTGAGAAAATAGCATGTTACAAAAGAAAATGACAAGGATTAAGAAAAATGGCAACGGAGATTCCAATAGAGAGATCTTCTACAATAATAAGGGCAAGAGGCCGAGAGAAAGAAAGAGCCGGCGAAAAGAAGAATCAAGTTTTTTATTGTGTTCGTAGAGCTAAATTTGATAGATCTTAACAAGAGGCATATTGGTGTTTCATGGTGAAAAAAATGGTGGAAGCAACAAGCCAACTATGAAGATAAAGGAAGAAAGAGAAATCACAAAAGAATAAGACAAAACCTGGTAATTGTTTACTCCTCTGTTGATGGAAGTTAGTTTCCTAATTCTTTTCAAATCTAGCGTCATTTGTTATATATTCTCTTAAAACATTGGGTTTTTGGGAAATCAATTGCCTAAAATGATTTTAGCACAATATATAGATATATGAATTCGCATACGAAGAAGCTATTGTATTGGAAAGACAACTAGAGCTTATTCATGAAAAAGAGAGAAAGGAACTTTAAGGCAAAAAGATCTTGGCATTTCGTCGAACAGATCCAACGGATCAGCCAATCTATTGTTCCTCTTTGTATCCCGTAAGCCGTAATCATCTTGGTGTAAAGACTCACATGAGGTGAAGGAACCTGATTGAAAATCTCTCGTGCCTCATCCAGTCTTGGGTTCAACAAGTGGTGACTACATATCAAAACTTCATGATTCCAAAATGAAATAAGCTCGAAACTTGAATCGTTGAAAAATTGGGCGACTCCTCATACTTTTAACGGTCTCATCAAGGAATAAAAACAATATATGATCCAAGCTTTCGGACAAATTGGCTTCAGTTCGAACTGCCATGTCTTTGTATTTGTCACAGTACAAATTTGCTATGACTGCTGGCAGAAACACTAAAACTTTGATTATCTTCTGTCAAATTAGCTTTGTTTCATTTCGAGGGTCTTGTAATAAATCAAAGATTAGATTCTGAAATAATCATATCATAAAACGAGAACCAAAGTTAAAAAATCTTCAAAACACAAAAAAAAAAAAAAACAGTCGACGATATTTAAAAAGTAAAACCCTATTAGAAGATGATATCTTGCAAGGGCTTTTCACTCGTCTTCCTGGCTATGCAACCTAGCAAGCCTGTTGGTAACTACAATGTCTAGCTGAGAAGCTCTCTCCACTATGGCCTTTCTCTTCTTTGTTGAGACATTGTGAGCAATCTCAGCGCAGTAAGTCCTAAGAAAAAACCCAAAGCAAAACACATCAATGAGGAGAATATGCTCAAGAATCTCTCACTTTCAACTAATGTAATCAAGAATTAATCACATTCTACTAATGTAATCAAGAATCTCTCACATTCTACTAATGTAATCAAGAATTAATCACATTCTACTAATGTAATCAAGAATCTCTCACATTCTACTAATGTAATCAAGAATCTCTCACATTCTACTAATGTAATCAAGAATCTCTCACATTCTACTAATGTAATCAAGAATCTCTCACATTTTACTAATGTAATCATTATAGTTACCTGTTGTGCATCATAAGTAGCTCGAGCTCAGAAGTGTTGTGAACGACGAATTTCTTGAATCCATTAGGGAGGTAGTGACGGGTCTTCTTGTCAGATCCGTAACCAACATTGGGCATCAAGGTGACACCTTTGAACTTTCTCCTCACCCTAGAGTCAATACCCTTAGGCCTCCTCCAGCTTTCCTGATCAACAACAACAACAACAATCGCAAGACAACAGAATCATTAGAGAATCAAAGCTAATCATATCTCCCTAAAGGAATCAAAACAAGCTTTCTGACTAATGTAAACCATAGATGAGAAAATGTCAACATGGTTCAAAGTAACAGTAAGCTTATCAAATCTACGCAAGCCGGAGATTCGCTTTCTGGCCGTATAAAAACGAAGTAATCAGAAACAGAATAAGAATTTCTGGTTACCAGATGCAAAGCTCCATAGTCCTAATTGCGTCATATTCAAATTCAACTAAACTATATGTCATATAAAAGATGCTAATCATCATCATCAAGATTCTAAGATGATGGTACAGTATAATCAGGATTTTTTTTTTCTCACTATAAAAGCCTAAGCTACAGAGAGTGACTCACGAAAAAATAAAGTTGAATAAAATTGCAAAATGAGATCAAAGATGATATACTTTGACGGTGATTCTTCGATCACTCTGGGGTCTGATGAATTTGGCAGACCTCTTCTTCACGACCTTCTTCGTAAGCAACGGAACCGCCATTTTTACTCCTCCGTTTAGTAAAATCACCAAAAGCGTCAGACGAAACAACGCTTCAATTGAATTATACACACTAAACTAAGGCAAAGAGATGTGATTAAGAGAGAAGCTTACGGTGATGAGAGCTGCCTCCGCCGCTAATGTGAAAGGACGACTCAAGTTTGTTATATGAACATGACTTAGGGTTTCTCGGTGTGAAGGTCAAAAATGTAATTTTGTTAAAGATGGGAATCAACGGCTAGATCTTTAAGTTACTCTAAACGCACAATCAACGATTAAGTTTTTGAAATCTATCATTTTTTCTATGAAAGAATTACTTAGATTGACTACATTTTAGGTGTATTGACGCAAACCATCCAAAATTTTTTTTATCCTTAAATGTTTTTTAATTACCAGCGTGCCCTTTTTACACGTTACCGGAAAAAACTAATTACGGAAAATACCACTGCCACGTCAGACAAAAAGGCGCGTGCCACCAATAACTCAGCCATAACGTACGTTACGGCTGAGTTATATCACGTTATGGCTGAGTTCTGGGACAACGGCTGAGTTTCGGGTCAACGGTTGACTTAGGATCATAACTCAGCCAACAGTTACGACTGACTTATAAAAATCTGGTTGAGTTATGAGAAAACGGCTAATAACTCAGCCGCCGTTACGGCTGAGTTATAGTCCGATGGTTGAGTTATCAGAAGTTTGGCTGAGTTATGTTATCGACACGGCTGACTTAACTTTCTCCGGGTGGCTGAGTTATCGACAACGGCTGAGTTATCAAATGTCGTTACGGCTGATTTATGTTTCAGAGACATAACTCAGTCGTAATTGGCTGACTTAACGGAAAACTCAACCATGTTACGGCTGACTTATAGACAAAAGATTTATTGCTAATATAGCCTCTAGTTACGGCTGACTTATTTTACGTTACGGCTGACTTATTTTACGTTACGGCTGACTTATTGACGTTACGGCTGAATTTGGCATCTTAAAAAACATTTCAGTAATTACTTAAATATTTTTCATGTTGTGGCTGACTTAATTTGTGTTGATGGCTGATTTATCGCTGGCTGAGTTACAAAGTTGTTTGGTGGCTGACTTACGACTTCAAATTCACAATTCCACGTCAGCATAAACGAGGGAAATACGAAAGTTCCCGCATTAGCTCGTGTTTTTCTTACACTCTGTTCTTCATTTTCTGGGATTCACTTCACTTATGTTTTTCATTTTCACTTCTGTTCTTCATTTTCACTTCTGTTCTTCACTTCTTTTCTGCATTTTCACTTCTGTTCTTCATTTTCGTTGATGGATCATCCGGTTCCAGTGATTGTTGTGTCTGGTAACTGGGCAAAGAAACAAAAATATGTATTTAACACTGACGATAGAGGTTGTAGAATTGTGCAAATAGATGCGGAAACAACGCACGAGAAGCTAGTGAAATTGGTTCTTGATGACTACGGACTGCATCAACTCAGCCACAAGGTGACGATGAGCTACATGCTCTCGTACAAACATATGAAACATATGTCGCATGATACTCCCCCAGTTTATGTCTCAAACGATCGACAATTGTAGAATTATCTAAGCTTGTTGACAATTGATCAGCCACGACTTTGTGTTGAGTTCGCGAAGTTGAAGGACAGATCGAATTCAAGGACGAAACGGCCACGCAGTTTGGCTTCAGAAGTAGAATATACATATGAAGACGCAAGAGGATTTGATGGTTTCTGTTATGATTATAGTGAAAACGTAGACGATGAAGCCAAAGAAGATGAAGCAGAGTACGAATCAGAGGATGAAGAAGAAGATGACGAGTTTTCAACCCGATTTGACGTATTCGACGACTCCGATGGTGCGTCATCTGACGATGATAACTTTACTATCTACGGCGAGCGTGAGGAGAAAGATGAAGATTTACCGGCTGCTACTCAAAACAGAGGTCATTACTTTGGCAAAGTAGAATCGATTGGGAACTCGGAGTCTTTAACGGTGGAGATGGCTAAGCTAAACCTCGTCGTAGGACAACGATACGCGAACAAAGACGAGTTGGAGAAACGAGTGAAACTTCTTGCAGTGAGAGATGGATTTGATTTTTCAGTACCAAAATCAAATACGACTATAGTGAATATTAAGTGCTGGGTTGAAGGATGTCTTTGGAGAGTTCGTGCATCTCAAGAAGGAGATCAGCCTGGTTTTGTTGTTTGTATATACGATTCGGTACACACATGTTCTGTGATGGAGAGATCTAATCGATCCAAACAAGCTACACCTGATGTTTTGGGACCTCTTTACAGGGACTTTCTTGGTGACATTGGTCCGTTAGTTAAACCTTAAAGTGTTGGAATAATCATCAGTAAGCATTTTGGCATAAAGGTAATTACAATGTCACGGCTGATTTATATTTGAGTCACGGCTAAGTTTTCGTTACGAAACGGCTGAGTTTATTTATTTTCGGCTGAGTTCTCATTACGATACGGCTGAGTTTCATTTAGTTTTCTTTCCTTTACGGCTGAGTTATCATTATGATACGGCTGAGTTTTCATTTATGTGTCGGTTGACTTATATATATTTACGGCTGAGTTATCATTACGATACGGCTGAGTTTTCATTTGACTTATATATAGTTACGGCTGACTTATTTTTATATTGGTGCCAACAGATGGATTATTGGAAGTCATACAAGACGCTAAGGTTTGCAAGACAGATCGATATGGGAACTCCTGAGGGAAGTTTTGGAGAATTGCCTTCCTACCTATACACGATAAGACGGGCAAATCCGGGTACAATAACGCGTCTTCAAATTGACGAGTGTGACAGATTCAAGTATGTCTTCATTGCTTTTGGTGCGAGTGTTGCTGGGTTTGCTTACATGCGGAAGTTGTTGTTGTGGATGGTACGTTTTTACACGGTAGTTACAAAGGGACGCTTCTAACAGCCCTAGCTCAGGATGGAAATTTCCAAATTTTCCCAATAGCTTTCGCAGTTGTTGACACTGAAAATGATGATTCTTGGCGTTGGTTTTTTACACAACTCAAAGTTGCTATTCCAGACGAGAGGAATCTTGCGATCATCTCGGACAGACATAAGTCAATAGGGAAAGCAATTGGTGAAGTGTATCCGTTGGCTTCTCGTGGAATTTGCACTTATCATTTGTACAAGAACATATTGGTGAAGTTCAAAGGGAAACATTTGTTCCCACTTGTGAAAAAAGCGGCTAGGTGTTTTCGGATGGCTGATTTTACAGAAGCATTCAATGAGATTGAAGCGCTTCATCCTGAACTACATGGATATCTCGAAAGAGCTGGGGTGCAAATGTGGGCGCGTGTTCATTTCCCGGGTGAAAGGTACAACCTAATGACTTCGAACATTGCGGAATCTATGAACAAAGCACTATCAAATTGTAGAAGTCTTCCCATAGTTCGACTGTTAGAATCCATACGGAATATGATGACTAGATGGTTTGCTGAACGGAGAGAGGATGCGAAATCACAGCTAACAACGCTCTCACGAGGTGTTGAAAAACTGTTGATCACGTTACATAAGTTATTTATATAACTAAGCCATAACATGATTATAACTCAGTCGTTGTTTATATAACTAAGCCATAACATGATTATAACTCAGTCGTTATATATATAACTAAGCCATAACATGATTATAACTCAGTCGTTATTTATATAGCTAAGCCATAACATGTTTACATTATTTTATAACTCAGCCGTAACACAAAATGTTTTGTTCTTCCCTCTAATAGGGTCGTGTAACTGCATCAAGACTTTTTGAAGTACAACCGATTGATGCTTTACGTGTACAAGTACAATATGGGACATCTTTGCATGCTGTAAATTTGGATGCAAAAAGATGTACATGCCGCCGTTTCGAGCACGAGAAAATACCATGCGTCCATGCAATCGCAGCTGCAGAGCATATGGGTGTGTCTCGTATTTCACTGGCCGATCCGAACTACCGGAGCAATTATTTGGTTAACGCGTACGCTGATTCAATCTCACCTCCGGATACTGCACTCTCGGTTCCTGAAATTGTAACTAACCAACCGTGCGTGCCTCCGATCGTTGCAACCCAGCCAGGAAGGCCGAAGAAAAGCAGGATTAAATCAACTGTGAAAATTGCACTTGAGAATAAACGCCCGAGGAAACCACACGCATGTTCTCGATGTAAAGAAGTTGGGCATAATGCAAAAACTTGTCGGAAGTAGTATCGTTGGTATATTGTTGGCATGGATTTTCTCGTTTTTTGGTTATGTGTAGACAATGTTTGTTTTATGTAATCCATATTTCTAGATTATTATGATAACTCAGCCATAACATATATTTAACTCAGCTGTAACGCGACCTTTCGTCTTTCTCCCGTACGATAACTCAGCCGTAACGCGACCTTTCGTCTTCTTTAATATGATAACTCAGCCGTAACATAACTCAGCATACGGAATATACTCATGTTATGTTACAGATAACTCAGTCGTAACGCGACCTTTCGTCTTCGTTTCCCGTACGATAACTCAGCCATCACATTAACCAACGCAACTTTCCGTCTTCTTCCTTTATCTCTCTCATCTGATCCTCCCTTTATATATCAGTTTTCTTTTACCAAAAATCTTTTTCTCATTCATTTCAACTTTCATCAATATGGAAGACATTCCTCATATGCCAGGACATGTTTTTACTGAGATTAACGCGATTCTTGCCGGACCTGGTCGGGATGATCTTCCCGTTCTATACCCTGGTCCGGGTTTATATGATGCTTTCGTTGACAAAAGAACAACGAGATGGAGAGAATACCATTTTCTAATGGGTGATGCGATCGAGCCTATAATTTGTCAGAACTGGCACCACGAGTGGCCGACTTATCGCTTGATTCCCGTCCACTTTAAGATACATTGGTTTAAGATGCTACTGGTA